CACCAAAAACCAAATCGAACCCAAAGAGCACCATCTTACATGAGCACCATCTGACTGCGACCGCTGGCGAGCATCGCCTCCTTCAGCCGAATGGCGTCCTCCACGCCCGCCTCCGTCTCCTCAAAGGCGGCGGCGTTCTNCCGCGACGCGGCTGTACAGCTCAGTGTGGCTGAGGAGGAGGAGAAAAAGACAGTTTCAGCCACCAAAAACCAAATCGAACCCAAAGAGCACCATCTTACATGAGCACCATCTGACTGCGACCGCTGGCGAGCATCGCCTCCTTCAGCCGAATGGCGTCCTCCACGCCCGCCTCCGTCTCCTCAAAGGCGGCGGCGTTCTCCAACCCGCCGTCCAGGGACCAGCTGGCGCGAGGGTAGAAATAGCCGCCACCGGCGGCTCCCGCGGTGGCCATCGCCAGCAGCGACGGCGTCACAAAGCGCTTCCCCGTGGCGATCAGCAGGTTCAGGCGAACGAGGGCCAGTCGCTGGCCGCCGCTCTCCCCGCTGATCGACGCCGCCAGGTCGTCCAGCTCGGCGGCCGTCTTGTTCAGCGCCGAGTCGAAGCCCAGCTTCAGGTGGCCGGCGGCGATGGAGAGCTCCGGCTCGACGGGGAGGACGTTGTTGCGGCCGCGAACGCCGCCGCGGTCGGCGTCGCCGCTGACGCCGCCCGCCTTCACCGTCGCCGGAATGTACACCACCTTGCCGGCGCCGCCGGTCAGCAGCTGCCGTCCTCGAAGCGCCTTCGCCAGCTTCAGCGCCATCACGTCGCCCACCAGCACCAGGGCGGTCACCTGGCGGCGGCCCAGCGTCACCAGCACTGCCTTCAGCAGCGGCTCCAGCGAGCCGGGGTCGTCGAAGAGGCGGGGGGAGAAGCCGTGGCCGCCGCCGCCGAGCAGCGAGGCGGTCTGCGCCGTGACGCCCGTCACCGAGTTCCAGCTCATCGCCTCCAGCGGCCGCCCCCCTCCGCTGCCGGTCAGCCCCGCCAGCCCGTCGCGGGCGGCGAGGATGGTGATGCGCTGCGCATGTGCGTACCGCACCACCCCGTAGAGGACGGCGTTGACGCCCGCCACCGAGTCGCCGATGTGCGCCACCGCCCAAGTGGTTTGCTCCTGCTGCTGTGAATTATTTCCAGGCTGATCATTCGAATTGCAAGACATCAGATCGCGAAAGTTGTTCCAGGTGAGGCGAAAGTGCTCCCCACGGAGGGCCACCACCTCCTCCCACTTGTGCTCGCGCATCAGGCCGTTCAGTTTGGTGGTCTGTTTAAGAAAAAAGGCTTTTTAAAATCTTCAAAACAAAAAATCGAACCTACCTCCTGAACGCAGTTCATCAGCGGCTTTGCCACCACGTTGCCCTCGTTCAGCGTCAACACAACAGCGGAAGATAAAGTGGAGTTTGAAGATGAGGAGGAGGGGGAAGAGGAGGACATGCCCTTGACGCAGTGGAAGGCGTCAATGCCCATCCGCAGCGACATCAGCCGGTCAAAGGCGCTGGTGCGGCCGCCGCGCTGCGTGTGCGCCAGCACGCAGAGCCGCGCGTCCAGGCGGAGGCCACCGCCCTGCTCGCCGCCCAGGTACTCGCGAATGGTCGNAGCCGGTCAAAGGCGCTGGTGCGACCGCCGCGCTGCGTGTGCGCCAGCACACACAGCCGCGCGTCCAGGCGAAGGCCACCCTCGCCGCCCAGGTACTCGCGAATGGTCGTCGCCTTGAGGGCGACGCCATTGACGGTGCAGGCGCCCTCCGCCACGATCACCAGGTGGTAGAACTTGCCGTGGGCGCGCTCAAAGGCGATCCGGGCGGCCAGCTTTGCCTGCCAACTTTTGCCGGTTCCCTGGCCCTGGTTCTGGCCAGCCACCTCCTCCTCCTCCTGAGGACACTCAGGCAGGAAGACGTAGCTCGCCTCAGTGGCGAGGGCGCTGGAGAGGGCGAGGTAGCCGCAGTTGCGGCCCATCACCTCCACCACCATCACGCGGCCGTGGCTGTGTGTTTCAAAATGGCGAAAAAAGTTGTCAACAAAAGACAGCTTTCTTTTCTTCAATCGCACACACACTTACCTGGCAGCGGTCGTTCGCAGCACGTCCACCGCCTCTTGAATGCGAAAGAGAGCGGAGTCGGCGCCCACCGTCATCTCCGTCCCCTGGAAGTCGTTGTCAATGGAGCCGATGATGCCCACCAGGTTCAGCTTGGCCAGCTGGTTCGAATTGCCCTGCTGCTGCTGCCTGTTCTCCTTGCTCCACTCGGCAACAATGGCCGGCCACTCCTGGCGGAGGAGATTTGCCCCGGTCAGACTGCCGTCGCCGCCCACCACCACCAGGTTGGAAATGTTCCGCGAGAGGAGATTCCGGGCGGCACGTTTGCGTCCCTCGGCGGTGCGAAAGTCGGCGCAACGGGAGGACCCGATAATGGTGCCGCCCTGCCGAAAGTGTAGAAATAGAAAAAGAAAAAAGTTAGGTTTTGTTTACATCGGTTTTAGAAGCAAAAAAGTTTTTGTTCACTTCACCTACCTGATGCAGGTACTTCGCCAGCTCCTCCCGACGTCCCTTCTCAATCAGCCCCGGCCCACCGGTGACCAGGCCCTGGTAGCCGTCGCGAATCAGGTACACCTCGGTCTCCCGGCCGGCGGCTGCCACCAGGCCGAAGAGGACGCAGTTCATGCCCTGCGAGTCGCCGCCGCTGGTCAGCACGCCGATGCAGGCCAAGGGCGTGTTTGAGGTGGCGTTCGGAGTCAGGGGAATGGTGGTAATGGTAGCTGGTGAAGACATCTTGAGGTGATGGTGGCGGTGGTGAACACTTGGCCAAGGGATCGGGAAAAGGTTCTGCTGTTGATGACCAGTTTTTGTTGCTCCAACACCAAAACACCAAAGCACACAAAGAATGATGTCATCTTAGGAGCGGTTGCTTTTGGCAGCAGGTGATCTAGAGAGAAATTCGACTTTTTGGAGTTCGATGATGATGACAATGTGGGGAGTTTTTAGAAGGTGATGGTCAGCTTTTTATCTTTTCTTTTCTGTAGATCATCTTCTTCAGCCAAAAAGAAACGATGAGCGACACCAACAACGACACTGACTCGTTGACTAAGAAAAAGAGCCGAAGCTCGTCTTCAAATCAGCGCCGCCGTCGAAGCAAAAGCCGAAGCAGTAAAAGCAGAAGCAAGTCAAAGAAGAAGGAGAAAATCCGCTCAAAATCGAGCAGCAGCAAACACTCGGCCAAGAAGCCAAAATCAAAGCAAAAGAAGCCGACTTCGAAGAAGAGAACGGAAAACCAAGAGGACCAGCAGCAGCAGCTTGACACGCTGAAGATCGGCTTCTTCGGCGCAGGCAAGATGACCGAATCGATTGTGGGTGGGTGGCTCCNAGCAGCAGCTTGACACGCTGAAGATCGGCTTCTTCGGCGCCGGCAAGATGGCCGAATCGATTTGCATCGGGTTGCTCCGCTCCGGCCACGGCTCCGGTCCCTTTGGCCTCTCCGCCCTCATTCGCCCGGAGCAGCTCTTTGTGGCGGCCAAGTCGGAGCGAAATCTAGGCCACTTTTCCGCCCACCAAAACATCACCACCACCCGACGACCGTACGACCTCTTTGGACGGTTCGACTGCGACCTGGTCTTCCTCGCCGTGCACGGCCACGCCGTCCGCGCCTGCTACAAGGGCGGCGGCACGCGGCCCTCCGCCCTCTTCGTGAACTACCTGCCCAAGCAGGGCCACCCGCTGACGATTCTTTCGCTAGTGGGCGGCGTCTCGCTGGCGGAGCTCCGCCCCACCCTGCTTGATCCCGACGATCCGGAGAAGTACCTCCTCTCGCTCTTTCGCCTCTGCCTGAACGCCGCCGTCCGCTACGGCCTCGGCCTGGGCGCCATTGATGTGGACCTTGGATCGGAGGTGGAGGAGGAAAACAACTCCCAAAGAAAGTTGTTACCACTGCCACCGCCCGTCGTCTTGCAGCTTCTTCAGCCCATTTTGGGAGGCGGCCACCGGCTGCTGGAGTACTGCCCCGAACCGCAGATGGACGCCTTCTGCGCGCTCACCGGAAACGGAGGGCTCGCCTTTGTCTTCTACCTCATATCGGCGATGGCCTCCGGAGGTGCGAAAGTGGGCCTCAATAAGGTGAGTAAGGTGGAGTTTTAGTTGCCTTTTTTAAAACTTTTTCTTCTTCTTCTTCTTCTCTTGTGTAGGTGATGGCAGTGAGGCTGGCCACCTACTCACTTCAGTCAGCGGCTCGCTCTCTGCTGTTAGGAGAAACTGGAAAAGGAACTGTGCAGGCAACTCAAGTTCATCCCAGCGAACTCCAGGACCGGATCACCTCGGAGGGCGGCGCCGCCGCCTACGGACTGCAGCTGCTTGAGGAGCAAGGCGTCGGGGCGGGCCTGCAGGCGGCTATTGAGGGCGCCCTCGGCCGAATTCGACAGCTAGTGACCACTGATCCGGTGGGCGAGGTGGAGGTGAAGGCGGTCAGCTTTCCAAATGCTTGAAAAAGGTTGCTGCTGTTGAAGAAGGTGAAATAAACTCACAGTTGAACTAGAGTACAACCAATTTTTCAAGGCAATAAAAAGACTAGAAAGGTTGGTTAGTTAGCGCAACAAAATGATGGATCTTGATTGATGATTGAGGAGGTTAAAAATAACCAAA